CCTAGGTTTGAACTGATAGAAATCCCTCGGTAATTTCTAGGGTCAGCCTTACTAACCTTTTTGTGATACAAAAATACAAGTCACAAAAGATTTAAAGTGATTTTGGTTTTAGTATAATACTGTCTAGATTTCGACAGAATGTGACTTTGCATGCATATTTATATAATTCACTCAGCAAAAAGGGACACCCATTGTGCTTTTATGGAATTGTTTGAGTTTTATCTGATTGTTCCAGATTAGGGAGCCTTCAACTTGCACTGTCATGCAATGTTTGAGTGTTTGCTTCATTTTTGAGTCCTCACTCATGCACCTATTTAAGATGAAAAACAGCAAAGAAGGTGCAAATCATTTGGTTTTTTTTTTGTCTCCTGTGCAATGCATTATGACCCTTAGAAATATTGATAATTTGGAAAATTGCATTGTTTATAGCGCTCTCATGTGTACAATTCTTTGCCAGATTTATATAAAACTTATATCATAGGGTTATACTTATGTTGTAGGTTTATATCAAATATGTCTGAGACAAGGTCGAAAATCAGTGCCGATTGATAATTTCTATTAGAGTTATGGCTTTTAGAAATATAAATAATATGGGAAATTGCATTGTTAGCCCTCCCCTGTGCACAATTCCTGGCAAATTTTTATGAAACTTATAGTGTAGGTTAATATCAGCGATGTCTTGGATGAGTTCAAAAATAAGTGCCGATCACATTATTTTTAAAAGAGTTATGCTCCTTGGAAGTATTGATTATATGGAAATTTGTATTGTATAAAGCGCTCTCACTTGTCCAAATTTGCCAGGTTTTTAACAAATTCATATCAAAGGTTAATTATAAATAAGTGTAGTTGAATCAAACATTTTTGCCTAAATGGTTACTCAGATAATCTTTAGACCTGTTAACCATTAGTTAAGTTGATGTGTTGAGGCCTTATCTATAGTACTGTTTAAAGTACCATTTTTATGATACATTTCAAGACTTCGTTGATTTGCATTTCAGCATTTTTGAGTGGGCATTCACGTATGACAAAGCCTTGGACAATGGAGGTGGCATATATTTAGATGTAGCTCACCTTGCCTGTTGTTCGTCGTCTGTTAACTTTTACAAAAATCTTCTCCTCTGAAACTACTCTGTCATATTTTACAAAACTTAGTCACAATCATCATTGAGGTATTTAGTTTTAAAAAATGTGTCCGATGACCCCGCCTGCCAACCAAGATGGCCGCCATGGCTAAAAATAGAATATAGGGGTAAATACAGTTTTTGGCTTATATCTCTGAAACTAAAGCATTTAGAGTAAATCTAACAGGGATAAAAATATTCATCAGGTTTAGATCTATGTGCCCTGAAATTTTCAGACAAATCATGCAGACAACACGTTGTTGGGTTGCTGCCCCTGAATTGGTAATTTTAAGGAAATTTTGCAGTTTTTGGTTACTATCTTGAATATTATTACAGATAGAGATAAACTGTAAACAGCAATAATATTCAGCATAGTAAGATCTACAAATAAATCAACATGAACAAAATTGTCAATTGACCCATTAAGGAGTAATTGCCCTTTATAGTCAATTTTTAACAATTTTTCATAAATTTTTGTAATCTTTTACAAAAATCTTCTCCTCTGAAACTACTGAGACAAATTTAACCAAACTTGGTCACAATCATCATTAGGGTATTTAGTTTGAAAAATTTGTCCGATGACCCCACCTGCCAACCAAAATGACCGACATGGCTAATGGTGAGCAATACAGGCTCCTTGGAGCCTCTAGTTTTCTTGTACTATATGCAATAGATCAACTATATTTGGTGTATGGAACTATTTAACAATGTACATGTATGTCAGTCTTGCAGGTTTTATTGGACCTTGACCTCATTTCTCAGTGTTAAGGTTTTGTCAAGCCTGCGACTTTTGTTGAGAAAGCTCGACATAGGGATAGTGATTTTGTGGCGGCGGTGTTATCTTACTTCTTAAAAGCTTTATATTTTCAAAGGTAGAAGACCTGGATGCTTCATACTTTGTATATAGTTGCCTTATGTTATGAAGTTTCCGTCTGTCATGTCTGTCCATTGTCCTTGACCTCATTTTCATGGTTCAGTGACTACTTGAAAAAAAGTAAAGATTTTTTGTAATGTTAATTTCTCTTTTATTATGAGTAATAGGATAACTATATTTAATATGTGCGTACCTTGCAAGGTCCTCATGCCCGTCAGACAGTTTTCATCTGACCTCGACCTCATTTCATGGATCAGTGAACACGGTTAAGTTTTCGTGGTATATATCAGATACTTTTAGCAATAGGTCTTCTATATTTGGTGTATGGAATGATTGTAAGGTGTACATGTCTAACTGGCAGGTGTCATCTGACCTTGACCTGATTTTCATGGTTCAGTGGTTAAAGTTAAGTTTTTTTGTTTTGGTCTTTTTTCTAATACTATATGCAATAGGTCAACTATATTTGGTGTATGGAAATATTTTACAATGTACATGTCATTTTGGCCGGTTTTATTTGACCTTGACCTCATTTTCACCGTTCATTGGTCAGTGTTTGAATAGTTTTTGTCGAGCCTGCGACTTTTGTCGCAGAAAGCTCGACATAGGGATAGTGATCTGGCTGCAGCGGCAGCAGCTACAGCGGTGGCAGTGGCGTTAGCTAACTTCTTAAAAGCTTTATATTTTAGAAGCTAGAAGACCTGGATGCTTCATACTTTGTATATAGATGCCTTATGTTACGAAGTTTCCGTCTGTCATATGTCCATTGTCCTTGACCTCATTTTCATGGTTCAGTAAAATTGAGAATGGAAACTACTTGAAAAAAAAGTCAACATGTTTTGTTATGTTAATTTCTTTCTTATTATGAGTAATAGGATAACTATATTTAGTATGTCTACCTCGCAAGGTCCTCATGCCCGTCAGACAATTTTGATTTGACCTCGACCTCATTTCATGGATCAGTGAAAAAGGTTAAGTTTTCGTGGTCAAGTCCATGGTATATGAAATGATTGTAAGGTGTACATGTCCAACTGGTAGGTGTCATCTGACCTTGACCTCATTTTCATGGTTCAGTGGTCAAAGTTAAGTTTTGGAGTTTTGGTCTTTTTTTCTTATACTATATGCAATAGGTCAACTATAAATGGTGTATAGAAATATTTTATGATGTACATGTCAGTCTCACAGGTTTTATTTGACCTTGACCTCATTTTCATGGTTCATTTCTCAGTGTTCAGTTTTTTGTGTTTTGGTCTGTTTTTCTTCAACTATAAGCAATAGATCAACTATATTTGATGTATGGAAGGATTGAAGGTGTATATGTCTGTCTGGCAGGTATCATCTGACCTTGACCTCATTTTCATGGTTCATTGGTCAATGTTAAGTTTTCATGGTTAAGTTTGTTTCTTAAATACTATAAGCAATAGGTTAGCTATATTTAATGCCTAAATTGATTGTAAGGTGTACATGCATGTCTGTCTGGCATGGTTCATTTGACCTTGACCTCATTTTCATGGTTCATTTCTCAGTGTTAAGTTTTTGTGTTTTGGTCTGTTTTTCTTCAACTAAAAGCAATAGATCAACTATATTTGATGTATGGAAGGATAATGTAAGGTGTATATGTTTGTCTGTCAGGTATCATCTGACCTTGACCTTATTTTCATGGTTCATTGGTCAATGTTAAGTTTTCATGGTTAAGTTTGTTTCTTAGATACAATAAGCAATAGGTCAACTATGTTTGGTTTATTGAATGATTGTAAGGTGTACATGTATTTCTCGTTTGGTTTATCTGACCTTGACCTCATTTTACTTGGATCATGTTAAGTTTATGTGTTACTTGTAGTAAAGCTTTGTATTTAGGACTATCAACATAAAATCAATGGTTAGTAAAGAAGGCGAGACATTTCAGCATGTGCACTCTTGTTGTGTTTTGGTCTGTTTTCTTAAACTATAACCAATAGGTCAACTATATTTGTTGTATGGAATGATTGTTAGGTGTATATGTCTCTCTGGCAGGTATCATCTGACCTTGACCTCATTTTCATGGGTCATTGGTCAATGTTAAGTTTGTTATGCCCCTGCCGTAGCGGAGGGGGCATTAAGTTTTACCATTGTCTGTCTGTACGTATGTCTGTACGTCCATCCGTCCGTACGTCCCAAAATTGGTTTCCGTTCTCTAACTTTAGTTTGCCTCAACCAAATGTTATGAAACTTATACACAATGCTTATTACCACATAACACAGATCAAGTTTCAATTTTGGTGGCATCACTTTTACCGTTCTAGAGTTCCCTTTACAAATGGAAAAATTGCTTTTCTCATCACTTGGCGTTCGTCGTTTGCGTCCATCTTCGTCGTCGTCTGTCGTCGTTAGCTTTTTACAAAAATCTTCTGCTCTGAAACCACTGGGCCACCAAATTTGGCCAAAATCATCATTAGGGTATCTAGTTTAAAAAATGTGTCCGATGACCCTGCCAACCAGCAAAGATGGCAGCCATGGCTAGAAATAGAACATAGGGGTAAAATGTAGATTTTGGCTTTTATCTCTGAAAACAAAGCATTTAGAGTAAATCTGACACATGGTAAAACTGATTATCACATGAAGATCTATCTGTCCTGAAATTTTCAGACAAATCTGACAACCTCTTGTTGGGTTGCTGCCCCTGAATTGGTAATTTAAGGAAATTTTGCAGTTTTTGGTTATCATCTTGAATATTATAGATAGAGATAAACTGTAAACAGCAATAATGTCCAGCAAAGTAAGATCTACAAATAAGTCGTAATGACAAAAATTGTCAGTTGACCTCTTTAGGAGTTATTGCCCTTTATAGTCAATTTGTTGTAAATTTTTGTAATCTTTTACAAAAATCTTCTCTGAAACTACTGAGACAAAGTTAACCATACTTGGCCATAATCATTATTAGGGTATCTAGTTTGAAAAATTTGTCCGAATACCCCACCTTCCAACCATCATGGCTAACTTGGTTAAAAATAAAATATAGGGGTAAAATGCAGTTTTTATACGACCGCAAAAATTGAAAATTTTTTGGTCGTATATTGGTATGACGTTGGCGTCGTCGTCGTCTGGCGTCGTCCAGCGTCGTCCGAAGACACATTGGTTTTCGCACTCTAACTTTAGTTTAAATGAATGGATCTCCATGAAATTTTACCATAAGGTTCAATACCACGAAAGGAAGGTGGGGATTGATTTTGGGGGTTATGGTACCAACAGTTAAGGAATTAGGGGCCAAAAAGGGGCCAAAAATAAGCATTTTTGTAACTTCCAGACAATTACTTGTGTGTAAGTGTATGGATCTCTCTGACATTGTACCACAAGGTTCCATATCACAAAGGGAAGGCTGTAATTGATTTTGGGGGTAATTGCCTCAAAATTTTAGGAATGAGGGGCCAAAAAAGGGGCAAAAAACAAGCATTTTTCTAGTTTCATGACAATAACTTGTGTGTAAGTGTTTGGATATTTCTGAAATTGTACTACAAGGTTCCATATCACAAAGGGAAAGCTGGAATTGAGTTTGGGGGTAATTGCCCGAAACGTTTAGGAATTGGGGGCCAAAAAGGGGCCAAAAATAAGCATTTTTCTAGTTTCCAGACAATAACTTGTGTTCAAGTGTATGGATCTCTCTGAAATTGTACTGCAAGGTACCATACCACAAAGGGAAGGCTGGGATTGAGTTTGGGGGTGATGAATCATAAGGGGGTTCAAAAAATTTGGGGGGGGATTTTTTTCTTTCTTTTTTTTTCTTTTTTTCCTTTCTTTTTTTTTTTTAAATTTTCCATTTTAAGTTGGTTATTTCTGATTAATATTTAAAAGCAAATAATAATGATATGGTAGGAGATACACACCAAACAGGATGTGTAAATTATTATATAATAAGTATTGTGCAATAGCAAGAAATTTTCAATTGCACAGTATTGCACAATTGCAAGAAATCTTCAATTGCACAGTATTGCGCAATAGCAAGAAATCTTCAATTGCACAGTATTGCGCAATAGCAAGAAATATCCAATAGCACAATATTGCGCAATAGCAAGAAATTGTCAATTGTACAGTATTGCACAATAGCAAGAAATATTCAATTGCACAGTATTGTGCAAAAGAAGATACTTCGTATAAATTGCTTATTTCTTGATCAATTTCAATGGGGTTTTATTCTTGAATTCTTGGGGTTCTTTAATATGCTGAATCTAACCGTGTATTAAGTTTTTGGATTTTGGGCCCCGTTTTTAAATTGGTCCACATTGAGGTCCAAAGGGTCCAAAATTTAACTTTGTTTGATTTCATCAAAAATTGAATTATTGGGGTTCTTTGATATGCCGAATCTAACCGTGTATTTAGATTCTTAATTTTTGGTTCCGTTTTCAAATTGGTCTACATTAAGGTCAAAAGGGTCCAAAATTAAACTTAGTTTGATTTTAACAAAAATTGAATTTTTAGGGTACTTTGATATGCTGAATCTAAACATGTATTTAGATTTTTGATTATAGGCCCAGTTTTCAAGTTGGTCCAAATCGGGGTCCAAAATTAAACTTTGTTTGATTTCAACAAAAATTGAATATATGGGGTTCTTTGATATGCTGAATCTAACCATGTATTTAGATTTTTGATTTTTGGGCCCCGTTATCAACTTTGTTCACATTGAGGTCAAAAGGGTCCAAAATTAAACTTTGTTTGATTTCATCAAAAATTGAATTCTTGGGGTTCTTTGATATGCTGAATCTAACCATGTATTTAGATTTTTTATTTGTGGACCTGCTATCAAATTGGGTCATATTGAGGTCAAAAGGGTCCAAAATTAAACTTTGTTTGATTTCATCAAAAATTTAATTATTGGGGTTCTTTGATATGCCAAATCTAACCGTGTATTTAGATTTTTAATTTTGGGTCCCGTTTTTTAAATTGGTCTACATTAAGGTCCAAAGGGTCCAAAATTAAACTTAGTTTGATTTTAACAAAAATTGAATTTTTGGGGTTCTTTGATATGCTGAATCTAAACATGTGTTTAGATTTTTGATTATGGGACCAGTTTTCAAGTTGGTCCAAGTTGGGGTCCAAAATTAAACTTTGTTTGATTTCAACAAAAATTGAATATATGGGGTTCTTTGATATGCTGAATCTACACATGTATTTAGATTTTAGATTTTTGGCCCAGTTTTCAAGTTGGTCCAAATTGGGGTCCAAAATTAAACTTTGTTTGATTTCAACAAAAATTGAATATATGGGGTTCTTTGATATGCTGAATCTTACCATGTATTTAGATTTTTTATTTTGTGGGCCTGCTATCAAATTGGTTCATATTGAGGTCAAAAGGGTCCAAAATTAAACTTTGTTTGATTTCATCAAAAATTGAATTATTGGGGTTCTTTGATATGCCAAATCTAACCGTGTTTTTAGATTTTTAATTTTGGGTCCCGTTTTTTAAATTGGTCTACATTAAGGTCCAAAGGGTCCAAAATTAAACTTAGTTTGATTTTAACAAAAATTGAATTCTTGGGGTACTTTGATATGCTGAATCTAAACATGTGTTTAGATTTTTGATTATGGGACCAGTTTTCAAGTTTGTCCAAGTTGGGGTCCAAAATTAAACTTTGTTTGATTTTAACAAAAATTGAATATATGGGGTTCTTTGATATGCTGAATCTAACCATGTATTTTGATTTTGGACATTGGACCATAATAGGTAAATTAAAAAAATTGAAGTTCTTAGACCACATTCTTTCTGTGTCAGAAACCTATGCTGTGTCAAATATTTAATCACAATCCAAATTCAGAGCTGTATCAAGCTTGAATGTTGTGTCCATACTTGCCCCAACTGTTCAGGGTTCGACCTCTGCGGTCGTATCAAGCTGCGCCCAGCGAAGCATTTTATTGGTTTATATCTCTGAAACTAAAGCATTTAGAGCAAATCTGACAGGTGGCAAAAATGTTCATCAGATTGAGATTTATCTGCCCTGAAATTTTCAGGCGAATCCTACAACCTGTTGTTGGGTTGCTGCCCCTGAGTTAGTAATTTTACAGAAATTTTGCAGTTTTTAGCTCACCTGGCCCAAAGGGCCAAGTGAGCTTTTCTCATCACTTGGCGTCCGGCGTCTGGCGTCCATACTCCGTTAACTTTTACAAAAATCTTAATTCTCCTCTGAAACTACTGAGCCAAATTTAACCAAACTTGGCCACAATCATCATTGGGGTATCTAGTTTAAAAATGTGTCCGGTGACCCAGCCAACCAACCATGATGGCCACCATGGCTAAATATAGAACATAGGGGTAAAATGTAGATTTTGGCTTATATCTCTGAAACCAAAGCATTTAGAGCAAATCTGACATGGGGTAATATTGTTTATCAGGTCAAGATCCATATGCCCTGAAATTTTGAGATGAATGGGACAACTTGTTATTGGGTTGCTGCCCCTGAATAGGTAATTTTAAGGAAATTTTGCAGTTTTTATACGACCGCAAAAAAATTTTTGTGGTCGTATATTGGTATGACGTTGGCGTCGTCGTCGTCGTCGTCGTACGAAGACACATTAGTTTTCGCACTCTAACTTTAGTTTAAGTGAATGGATCTCAATGAAATTTTACCATAAGGTTCAATACCACAAAAGGAAGGTGGGGATTGATTTTGGGGGTTATGGTACCAACAGTTAAGGAATTAGGGGCCAAAAAGGGTCCAAAAGTAAGCATTTTTCTAGTTTCATGACAATAACTTGGTGTGTAAGTCTATGGATCTCTCTGACATTGTATCACAAGGTTCCATATCACAAAGGGAATGCTGGGATTGATTTTGGAGGTAATTGCCTCAAAATTTTAGGAATTAGGGGCCAAAAAAGGGGCAAAAAAACAAGCATTTTTCTAGTTTCATGACAATAACTTGTGTGTAAGTGTATGGATCTTTCTGAAATTGTACTACAAGGTTCCATATCACAAAGGGAAAGCTGGAATTGTGTTTGGGGGTAATTGCCGAAACGTTTAGGAATTTGGGGCCAAAAAGGGGCCAAAAATAAGCATTTTTCTAGTTTCCAGACAATAACTTGTGTTCAAGTGTATGTATCTCTCTTAAATTGTACTGCAAGGTACCATACCACAAAGGGAAGGCTGGGATTGATGATGGGGGTAATTGCCTCAATATTTTATGAATTAGGGGCCAAAAAGGGGCAAAAAACAAGCATTTTTCTAGTTTCAGGACAATAACTTGTGTGTAAGTGTATGGATCTTTCTGAAATTGTACTACAAGGTTCCATATCACAAAGGGAAAGCTGGGTTTGAGTTTGGGGGTAATTGCCCTAAACGTTTAGGAATTTTGGGCCAAAAAGGGGCCAAAAAACACATTTGTCTAGTTTCCAGACAATAACTTGTGTTCAAGTGTATGGATCCCTCTGAAATTGTACTGCAAGGTACCATACCACAAAGGGAAGGCTTGGATGAATCATAAGGGGGTTCAAAAAATTTGGGGGGGGGGGGGGGGTTTTCATTTTTTTCTTTTTTTCCTTTTTTTTTTTTTTCTTTTTAAATTTTCCATTTTAAGTTGGTTATTTCTGATTTATATTTAAAAGCAAATAATAATGATATGGTAGGAGATACACACCAAACAGGATGTGTAAATTATTATATAATAAGTATTGTGCAATAGCAAGAAATTTTCAATTGCACAGTATTGCACAATAGCAAGAAATCTTCAATTGCACAGTATTGCGCAATAGCAAGAAATCTTCAATTGCACAATATTGCGCAATAGCAAGAAATATCCAATAGCACAATATTGCGCAATAGCAAGAAATTGTCAATTGTACAGTATTGCGCAATAGCAAGAAATATTTAATTGCACAGTATTGTGCAAAAGAAGATACTTCGTATAAATTGCTTATTTCTTGACCAATTTCAATGGGGTTTTATTCTTGAATTCTTGGGGTTCTTTAATATGCTGAATCTAACCGTGTATTTAGTTTGTGGATTTTGGGCCCCGTTTTTAAATTGGTCCACATTGAGTTCCAAAGGGTCTAAAATTAAACTTTGTTTGATTTCGTCAAAAAATTGAATTATTGGGGTTCTTTGATATGCCGAATCTAACCGTGTATTTAGATTCTTAATTTTTGGTTCCGTTTTCAAATTGGTCTACATTAAGGTCCAAAGGGTCCAAAATTAAACTTAGTTTGATTTTAACAAAAATTGAATTCTTAGGGTTCTTTGATATGCTGAATCTATCCAAATGGGGGTCTAAAATTAAACTTTGTTTGATTTCAACAAAAATTGAATATATGGGGTTCTTTGATATGCTGAATCTAACCATGTATTTAGATTTTTGATTTTTGGGCCCCGTTATCAACTTTGTCCACATTGAGGTCAAAAGGGTCCAAAATTAAACTTTGTTTGATTTCATCAAAAATTGAATTCTTGGGGTTCTTTGATATGCTGAATCTAACCATGTATTTAGATTTTGGATATTGGACCATAATAGGTGAATGTCCAATTTAAAATTTATAAGTTCTTAGACCACATTCATTCTGTGTCAGAAACCTATGCTGTGTCAAATATTTAATCACAATCCAAATGCAAAGCTGTATCAAGCTTGAATGTTGTGTCCATACTTGCCCCAACTGTTCAGGGTTCGACCTCTGCGGTCGTATCAAGCTGCACCCTGCGGAGCATTTTATTTATCGTAAAATACTTACTTACGGATTGTGGTTTGAAATTATATTTCTTTCATAGTAGAAATTAATATCCATTTCTAGTACCTTTCTAACAAACTTTTGATAAGTCTCCATTCACTTTATTTTTAATGTGTTGCAGCCAGAGTTATTTTTTCAAATTGGACAGTGTTCAGCCACAAGTATTACAATATGATTTGGATGGAACAAAAGCAATGCAAATATCATGATGCACATACTGACCCATAGAATAAAGAGAAAGAAAGATAGTGAAAAACAGGAAATATTTGAAAGGGTAAACATTTATTTTTTTAATCTAATAGACTGATTATGACCTAATTAGATTTCATTACTGTGATAAAGATTTATGTTAATTTTATCATCAGGAAATTGGTATACCTTATTTCATATTAATTGGTACAAAAATATGCTTTCATTACTGTGATAAAGATTTATGTTAATTTTATCATCAGGAAATTGGTATACCTTATTTCATATTAATTGGTACAAAATTTGCTGTACAACCAAATATAGTGTATAAAATTTCAGAAAAATTGCATTTTAAGTAAACAATGTAAAAAAATATCATGTTCTGCAATTGAGTAAAATTTTAAGATTCATTTCATATAAGGAACTGGGATGTATAAGGAATCTCCCACACATTGCACTTACTAAGATTTTATTTCATTCAAATTTGTCAACTGTCTACCTAATATTTTACAATAATAAAATGAGTACTTGTGGCATGATTGCCAATGAGATAACTTTGTACCAGAGACCAAAGGGCAAGTGGATGAGTACTGAAAATTGTCTCTTGTCCTCTACATCAGGAATACTTATATAGGCATTTTTTATCGTTAGATACTTACTTACGGATTGTGGTTTAAAGTATATTTCTTTCCTAGTAGAAATTTATATCCATTTCTAGTACCTTTCTAACAAACTTTTGATAAGTCTTCATTCACTTTATTTTTAATGTGTTGCAGCTAGAGTTATTATTTCAAATTGGACAGTGTTCAGCCGCAAGTATTACAATGTGATTTGGATGAGATCAAAAGCAATGCAAATATCATGATGCACATACTGACCCATAGAATAAAGAGAAAGAAAGATAGTGAAAAACAGGAAATATTTGAAAGGGTAAACATTTCTTTTTTTAATCTAATAGACTGATTATGACCTAATTAGATTTCATTACTGTGATAAAGATTTATGTTAATTTTATCATCAGGAAATTGGTATACCCTATTTCATATTAATTGGTACAAAAATATGCTTTCATTACTGTGATAAAGATTTATGTTAATTTTATCATCAGGAAATTGGTATACCTTATTTCATATTAATTGGTACAAAAATATGCTGTACAACCAAATATAGTGTATAAAATTTCACAAAAATTGTGTTTAAGTAAACAATGTAAAAAATATCCTGTTCTGCAATTGAGTAAAGAGTCATTTCATATAAGGAACTGGGATGTATAAGTACTCTCCCACACATTGTGCTTACTAAAATTTAATTTCATTCAAATTTTTCAACTGTTTACCAAATATTTTACAATAATAAAATGAGTACTTGTTGCATGATTGCCAATGAGATAACTTTGTAGCAGAGACCAAAGGGCAAGTGGATGAGTACTGAAAATTGTCTCTTGTCCTCGACATCAGGAATACTGATTTAAGCATTTTTTATCATAAAATTCTTACTTACAGATTGTGGTTTGAATGTATATTTCTTTCCTATTAAAAATTTATATCAATTTCTAGTACCTTTCTAACAAATTTTTGATATGTCTCCATTCATTTTATTTTTATACGACCGCAAAAATTAAAAATTTTTTGGTCGTATATTGGTATGACGTTGGCGTTGTCGTCGTCCGAAGACACATTGGTTTTCGCAATCTAACTTTAGTTTAAGTGAATGGATCTCCATGAAATTTTACCATAAGGTTCAATACCACAAAAGGAAGGTTGGGATTGATTTTGGGGGTTATGGTACCAACAGTTAAGGAATTAAGGGCCAAAAAGGGGCCAAAAATAAGCATTTTTGTAACTTCCAGACATAACTTGTGTGTTAGTGAATGGATCTCTCTGACATTGTACCACAAGGTTCCATATCACAAACGGAATGCTGGGATTGATTTTGGGGGTAATTGTCGCAAAATTTTAGGAATTAGGGGCCAAAAAAGGGGCAAAAAACAAGCATTTTTCTAGTTTCATGATAATAACTTGTGTGTAAGTATATGGATTTTTCTGAAATTGTACTACAAGGTTCCATATCACAAAGGGAAAGCTGGAATTGAGTTTGGGGGTAATTGCCCAAAACGTTTAGGAATAAGGGGCCAAAAAGGTGCCAAAAATAGCATTTTTCTAGTTTCCAGACAATAACTTGTGTTCAAGTGTATGGATCTCTCTGAAATTGTACTGCAGGGTACCATATTACAAAGGGAATGCTGGGATTGATTTTGGTAGTAATTGCCTCAAAATTTTAGGAATTAGGGGCCAAAAAGGGGCAAAAAACAAGCATTTTTCTAGTTTCAGGACAATAACTTGTGTGTAGGTGTATGGATCTTTATGAAATTGTACTACAAGGTTCCATATCACAAAAGGAAAGCTGGGTTTGAGTTTGGGGGTAATTGCCCTTAACGTTTAGGAATTTGGGGCCAAAAAGGGGCCTAAAAACAAGCATTTTTCTAGTTTCCAGACAATAACTTGTGTTCAGGTGTATGGATCTCTCTGAAATTGTACTGCAAGGTACCATATATACCACAAAGGGAAGGCTGGGATTGAGTTTGGGGGTAATTGCCTCAAAATTTTAGGAATTAGGGGCCAAAAAGGGGCAAAAAACAAGCATTTTTCTAGTTTCAGGACAATAACTTGTGTGTAAGTGTATGGATCTTTATGAAATTGTACTACAAGGTTCCATATCACAAAAGGAAAGCTGGGTTTGAGTTTGGGGGTAATTGCTCTAAACGTTTAGGAATTTGGGGATAAAAAGGGGCCTAAAAACAAACATTTTTCTAGTTTCCAGACAATAACTTGTGTTCAAGTGTATGGATCTCTCTGAAATTGTACTGCAAGGTACCATACCACAAAGGGAAGGCTGGGATTGAGTTTGGGGGTGATGAATCATAAGGGGGTTCAAAAAATTTAGTGGAGGGATTTTTTTTTTTCTTTAAAATTTTCCATTTTAAATTGGTTATTTCTGATTTATATATAAAAGCAAATAATAATGATATGGTTTGAATAGGTAAATTAAAATTTTTTAAGTTCTTAGACCACATTCATTCTGTGTCAGAAACCTATGCTGTGTCAAATATTTAATCACAATCCAAATTCAGTGCTGTATCAAGCTTGAATGTTGTGTCCATACTTGCCCCAACTGTTCAGGGTTCGACCTCTGTGGTCGTATCAAGCTGCGCCCCAGCGGAGCATTTTATTAATGTTTTGCAGCTAGAGTTATTATTTCAAATTGTGAAAAAGGCAGATATTCAGTGTGAATTTTTGCCAAGAAAGACCAACAGGTTTGTAGGTTATTATGAATAGAATTGAGAATGGAAATTGGGAAATGGTCAAAGAGCAGAAAACAGTGCAAGGCCACCAATGGGTCTTCAACACGGCGATAAAATTCTGCACTTGGAGGTGGGCTTCAACTGGCCCCTAGACTAAAA